TTAATGTCTTCATTATATATGCTAAAAAATCATGTCCATGGGTGTGCTAAAGTATTTAAAAGTAATTATTGCTTATTTCTCAACATTTGCCTTCATTTAAGTACATGAGTCAGCAAAATATATAACACTGTTCTAGGGATTTTTTAATATTTAAATTAAAAATCATACATTTAGTTTCTTTTAAGACTACAATTTTTCTTCTTTCTCACAAGGAACAAGGACATTTTTGTCTTATTTGAGTGCGTGGACAAAAACTAATGTCTCTTAGCCTAGACACTATTACAGTTTTTCTCAGTCACATTTCTCACAGCATTATTTACATTTGCACAACAGTTCATGCATTTCTCAAAACAATTAGTCATTTGTGCACATCATAGTAGCAGTTTCTCATTCCTTCCAACAAATTGCAAATGCTTTTGGACATGCATCAATTTCTTTCATACAGCTCTCTGCTATTTATAAGATTATTATTTGCTTATGTCATGTCAGTCAAAATCAACTAAACCTGTGAATGCTGAATAATCACTCCATATAAAACTAACAGTTCTTATTTCATTTCTTGAGTCATTACTGTACATACAAAAATGTTGAACTAGTTGTCAAAATCTGTCTAGCAAATTTTATATAAAAAATGTAAATAATTTTTTTTCCTGAAAATGTCTTGTAAATTGAACAATTTCATGAATGATTTACAGACCTGTGTTTGTTGTAGATTCAGTTCCAATATGTACTGCAATATTGTTTACAGTTGTGCACAGCTCTGCCCAAATAAAGTTTGTTTGTTGTACAGTAAATAAGGGTGTTTATTCTTTTGCACAATGCTGTGAATAAATTAGAATTGTAAAGAGCAAATGCAGTAAAATGTGAAACATACATATTCAGTGTCTTGTACTTCACTAAATGCAGTGTAGTCTAACTTTATAGTAGTTTTCAAACCGCTGTGCAAATATAGAGTTGTCTTGAGCATTTTTAGGTAGTGTCACCAAAATCAGACTTTTTTGTATTGGAAAACAATTACAGAGTTAGTAAGTCACAATGAAAACATGAGAAAGCCATTTGACTATCTTGTTCATAAACAATGGTGTCAGGACTTTTCATCTTGATGACACTGACACTTTCATTGACATCAATACTTGCTTTTGAGGAATGAGCTATATACAATTTGTGGAAGCGACATGCTTTTGCAGGTTATCATCTAGGTTTTGCAATTTGTACTAATTGTTTCGATGCATCAACTGCTGTGCAAATGTAAATATTGTCATGAGAAATGCACCAAAGCCACTTAAAAAACTGCAATACACAAAATTCAGATACCTATGCAGAACCAACAAATAAAAGGCTTGTCTGACAAAATATAAAACAAATTGTCTGACCTGAACACCGTGTCTAGCCCCCATGTGATAAAAAGAGTTTAAATCATTTCTAAATACAACCTCTCTGAGACCGACAGATAAAAACAGAGCTGGCGACCAAAAGAAAACAGACTCCCTACATGCACAAATAATGAATTACACAGAACATAATTACACTTTTAACCTCTTGCCTTAACGGTCAAATCACATTCTTATCTCCAAAACCAGACAGAACTCCAATACATGCACACACCCGAGGACTGTATGGAAGAAACACAAAAGCAAAAGTAATCAGGAGATTTAGTACAAGTTTACTGTGTGTCAGTAAGCTGTAAGCATGCTTGTGCAGTATTTACAGTAGTTATAATGTTGATGTGATTTTCTTTATATCAAGCTTAAAAGAGTTCTACAATCTTCACACAATATATTTTTCTCAAGCAAGATAAATGTTTTGACCCATGAAGTGCTCTAGGAGATTGCCTTTGGATTTCATTGCATTATTTGCATCCACTTTTTTTTAGCCATGCCCTTATGGATTTAGTGTCTAGGTTTCACTTATACTTCCTTTAAAGGTGAATCATCTTTCTTCTCTAGATAGACACAGACCATCTATTTGAAAGTGCAAGCAAAGCAGTGAGTCACTAAAGAACAAATCCAGTTCCAGTAAGTGTCATGGCCACACTCAGGGTTATCGCGTTTGTGGAAAATCCAGGAATAACCATTAATTTGGGGTTTTAAAGTTTCCCATGCCTGGTCATTTTTCCTTTCTAAAATAGTTAAATAGTCTATTCTATTTTAGGATGAAACAGCAATTTTAAAGTTATAGGTCATTCACTGACAAATATGTATTCATTGGATTATTTTTAAGATAAGAGGTTGCAAACAGTTTATGTGCTACATTTAAAGAAACAAACTCAATTTAGTAATGTTCAACTTAATTAGTTTGTTTAAATCCAGCCCATTAATTGTTTGCAGCCACTTACCTTAAACAATTCTGAAAAACAATAAATAATTTTTTCAGTGTTGTCGGCTATACTACAGTTTTTATCTGTCGCTTTGGAGCGTTTCTCACAACACCTGTGCATTTCTGCACAACAGTTAATGCATTTTTCAAAACAATTACTACAAACTGCAAAACCAGCTGATAACCTGCAAAAGCGCGTCACTTGCTCAAAATGGATAGTTCATTCCTCAAAAGCAAGTATTCATGTCAATCAAAGTGTCAGTATCATCAAAATGAAAAGTCCTGACACCATTGTTTATGAACAAGATAGTCAAAAGGCTTTGTCATGTTTTCATTATGACAGTTTAAATGTAAATGTAAATGTACTTTGGACATTTTTTCAATGCAAAAAAAGTCAGATTTTGGTAAAACTTCGTGAAAATGAATAAACAAATCAAGATAGTACTATACACTATTAGCCATCCATTTGAAAACTACAGTAAAGTTAGACATCACTGTATTTAGTGAGTGTATGTAGTACAAGACACTGAATATGTATGTTTCACATTTTTACTGCATTTGCTCTTTACAATCATAATTTATTCACAGCATTGTGCAAAATAATAAACACACCCTTATTCACAACAAACATAAACTCCCTTTGGGTTGAACTGTGCACAACTGTACACAATATTGCAGTACATACTGTATTGGACCTGAACCTGCAACATACACAAGTCTGTAAATCATTCATCAAATTGTTTAATTTAAAAGACATTTTCAGGAAAATAAAGTTAAATTTTTTAAATATTTTTATAAAGTTTGCTTGACCGATTTTGACATCAAGTTCAACATTTTTGTATGTAATGACTCAAGTAATGAAATGAGGACTTTTAGTTTTATATAGAATGACTATTCAGCATTTACAAGTTTAGGTAATTTTGACTGACATGACATAAGCAAATGATAATGTTATAAATAGCAGAGAGTTGAATGAAAGCAATGGATGCATGTCCGAAAGCATTTGCAATTTGTTGAAAGGAATGAGAAACTGTTACTAGGATGTGCACAAATGACTAATTGTTTTGAGAAATGCATGACCTAATGTGCAAATGTAAATAGTGTTGTGAGAAATGCACCAAAGCGACTGAGAAAAACTGCTACAAAAAATAATGATAATAATAAATTAATCACACCAATGATTTACTGAAAACTGATAGACTGAAAACCAACGACCTCTCAAATAGCTTGTTTATTAAAGTGAATCAAAACTAAAGCATGACCACCGTAGTTCGAATGCCACATGATGAATGACTCATTTGAGTCAATTAAAACGTTCAACACAATAAGCGCAGCACGATTCCCAAATGAATTTGTGACTTTTTTTTATTTATTTATTTTTTTAGATAATACAATAAACAGTTGAAGTCAGAATTATTAGCCCCCCCTCTTTATTTATTTTCTTTCCCAATTTCTGTTTAACGGAGAGAAGATTTTTTTCAACACATTTCTAAAAATAATAGTTTTAATAACTCATTTCTAATAACTGATTTATTTTATCTTTGCCATGATGAAAGTAAATAATATTTCACTAAATACTCTTCTATACAGCTTAAAGTGACATTTAAAGGCTTAACTAGGTTAATTAAACCTTTAAATGTTTTTTTTTTTAATTCAAACTGCTTTTATTCTAGCCGAAATAAAATAAATAAAACTTTCTCCAGAAGATAAAATATTATCAGACATAATGTGAACATGTCCTTGCTCTGTTAAACGTAATCTGGGAAATATATATATATTTTATATATATATATATATATATATATATATATATATATATATATATATATATATATATATATATATATATATATATATATATATATATATATATATATATTTATTTTATTCATTATAATTCAAAAGGGGGCTGATAATTCTGACTTCAACTGTACTAACCATAATTTATAAGCTACCTTCATTAGCTATCTACTTACAAAATGAAAGTAAAAAACATATATTTGAAAAATTTAATGACTGACTAATAATAATAATAATCATATTATTATTATTATTATTAATAATAATAATGGTAGCACTTTACAGTAAGGTTGTATTAGTTAATGTTATTTAATGTATGTAATATGAGCAAACCATAAAGTAAAACATTTTAAAGGATTTGTTCTTACAGGATATTGTTCATTGTTAGTTAACTCATATTGTGCATTAACTAACATTAATAAGCATGGATTTGAAGATTAATAATTCATTAGTAAATGTTGAACATTGATTAATAAATGCTGCACAAGTATTGTTCATAGTTCATGATAGTAGATACACTGATGAAACATTGTTAAGTGTGACAACAACAACAACAATATAATAATAATAATAATAATAATAATAATAATAATAATAATAATAATGAAATTTGTAAATAAATTAGTTTACTACGTTGTTGTTTAGCGTTATGTTTTTAGCCTTATTATTTTATTTTTGGCTATTTATGTTACCATTGTGAAGAGTAAAACATCTTTGAAACGTTTGAAGGAATTTAATTTGCTCCAGTTATGCATAAATGCCTCCAGTTCCTTCTTTCCCTCATCAAAAGTAAAATATTACAAAACAATTAAAGCCGAATCGATGAAAATGAATCAGAACCATAAACACTCAAGGCTACCACGACGGGTCGATCACCCGGAAGTACGTGACATTGAATACGGCGCAGTCAATGAATACTTGGAGTAGTTAACTACTGTTTGAAGCCACAGACTAAAATAAGTACAGCACACACACTTCTCCATATTACTCTGGAAGCGTGTGATTGCCTCGCCTGCTGGAATGGCTCCATACCTGAACTCTTCATGCAAACCGCTGCTTCTGCTGTCTCTTTTTGGAGTTTGTTTCGCGAGATTTGAAAGATGTGAGTTATATTTACTTTATTCATTATGGTTATTTTAAAGTTGCTTTTAAAGTTGGAGGGAACATGCGACTTCATCAAGTATTTAGTTCGAAATGCATTGTATACCTGCTGTTTAAGAACTAAACTGCGTTCATTGTATTTCTGTATTTAAGTAATGCGAGGAATGGAAGTGTTATAATTTAATATATTTTCGGACCGGTCACAACTTAAGACTCGCAAACCCCACTATAGTTAAGGCTGAGTCTAATGACGTAATAATCACATTTTATACGTTTTTATTAGAGCTAAAGCTTCTTTGAGTGTAAAAGGTTAAAGTTATAGCTATATTAAATCACGCCTATTATTGTTGATATTGTAAGATTGCATTATATTTACTAGGCTTGTTATAGTACAAGCCCTGGGTGCTTGCTGGCTCAAAACTTTCAGCTGAACTTTGATTATTAAATCCAAAACAAACACAGGCTTTTTTGTCAACAAAGGCTGTTTTTACAACCACAGTTTCTCAGGGAAATTCAAGGATTGAAGGATTTAGGGGAATTACATTTCAATAAGCATTTTGTGCCTGTTGGCATAAACAAGGGGTTACGTATTTGGAAACCGCAATTCAATATTTGATTTGTTGTTAGGTGTTATCACAAATATTAGCCTATTTTCACATTATTTTTCTGTGACTCCAAAAATAATTATCTTTTTTTAATACAAATTTTAATACCTACTTTATAATAAAACTTGTTTTTTTATGCAGATTTTATATTCACAAATGTAAATTTTCAAATTGCGAACCAGTATTTAGCATTTATTAAAGAGATGATAAATTACTTACAATTCCAGATTCACCTTACTAGGAAGCAATCAAAACTTACAATTTGTACGACCTTTAATATGTATAATCTATTAAACCTCTAAATTGCTGTTATCTTCTTATTTTGCCCTTATCACTCTGTTTCTTTATTATATATCTTACTTCAGACAACTTATGGATATATATATATATATATATATATATATATATATATATATATATATATATATATATATACTGTAATACTGTAATATGTAATATATACTACATATATATATATATATATACATATATATATATTTTTTTTCTTTTTTCTTTTTTCTTCTCTATTATTTCTCTTGTTTCTCATTCTTTATAGGCACCATTGTAAATAATCTAATAATTATTATTGTAAATTATGTGTTCAAAATTTATCTTTCTTTTATACAATAAATGTTATTAGGTGTGTTTAATCTCTGCAATGCAAACAAATGGCCTGTGCCTTTTTTTGACCATATAGTTTCCCTATAGTTTTTATGCATTTTATTTATTTAATACTATTTAAAGAATCAGATCAGAGTAAAAAAAAAATACTAATAATTGTAAATGAGATACAGAGCTCAACATATAAGTACACCCCTCACAAATCTCTCATTTAAATGAACATTTTCTATAAGAAGCTTAACAATATTATATGTGTGCATATACACAGGGTGTGAATTATACAATGAAGTTCAAGGGGGTTAACTTTTTTGGCAATGTTAGTTTGGTTAATACTTGCTCCAATAATCAAATTTATATTTTTATTTAAATGACATCTAATTTAGTAATATGACATAATTAAGTTGTCTGTGTTTTGAGGGATATTTAGTGAAACACAACCACTGCTTAACTATTTCAGAGGTTACTGTAGGTAAAACTACCCTATGTATAATCTGACTTTACTAGAAAAGCGTCTTGTGATGCTATTATGTATGAATCCCTGGTATGAACCATTGCTGTTATCTGGTTGGTATGAACCATTATAGGGGTGGTCAAAAGTATATTTATATAAGAAAATGTCTCAATCAGGTTTTTTGGCCCTCTAGTCCGAGTCATTTGATTTTGAGTATCTACTGATATCAAAACCTGATGCGATACTTCTATATAACATAAAGAAGAGAATTAAGAAGAGAGAAGAAACCGATCTAGGATGTTCCTCATTTTTTATTTAATTCACCTTATTTTAACATTCAACAGCTCTGTTGACAAACAGAACACTTCTGTGAAGTAGCTTGAACAATCAAGTAATTGATAACATAAATTCACTTCACTTATATATATATAAACATAATAATATAAAAACAAATAGCACCTTAATCACCTTAAAATACCGGACAGGCAATCCCTAAGTTTACATATCTCACAGTTAACTATATGGCAATGTTGTCATCATCAACTTTAGAACTTCTTCAGACCACAGACATACTCGTGCTTTCTGCTTCAAGCTACTTCTGGGTTCTACTTTAACCAATAGCGTCTCTGCAACAAAGTGATGTCATGCAGCACACATTGCTGTTCATATCTCCTGATCATGAGGTAACGTCCGATTCCGATTAAGTCTGAAACTGTGTGATCGGGCCTGATTTCCAATCATGTGACCGGATCTGGAGATCCCTAATTTATATTATCTATTATTTTATTTGTTATTATTATTATTATTATTATTCAGGATACGGATCTTAGAAAGCTACTTCTTCCTATTAAAGGGCTGACCTCCCTATACATATATTTTCAGTTCCTTCAGGGGTTGATCAAGTGTTAATTGGGGGTTCAATTCCTCAAATTTGTACACCCAAATTTATATATTAGAGAAAAATATCAAACAAACATTTAAAAAGGGCAAAATTCTAGAGCAGGGGTGTCCACACTCGGTCCTGGAGGGCCGGTGTCCAGGAGAGTTTAGCTCCAACCCTAATCAAACACGCCTGAACCAGCTAATCAAGCTCTAACTAGAAATACTAGAAACTTCCTAGCAGGTGTGTTGAAGCAAGTTGGAGCTAATCTCAGCAGGACACCGGCCCTCCAGGACCGAGTTTGGACACCCCTGTCAGAGAAGCAAAAAATAATACAATTTTAAAGTATTTTTTTCCAATATTTCTCATAAATTTCAATGAATTATCTTTTTTATTTCTAAAGATGTTCGGTAATTAAAATATTATTTTATCAAATATATCCTTTTAATGAATATGTGTTGTTAAAATGCACCAATGCATTCCATGAGAAATGGATATACAATATTTTTCTTTTCAAAATGGGGTGTACTCATTTATGTTGAGCCCTGTATATTACTGTACATGAATGCCTCCAAATGTATGCAATAAATATAACTAATTAAATTTTAGATATCTATGATTTCATTTAAGCAATCAATCCCTTTACAGTTCATTAATTACATTTTTTACAGGGATATTTTTCCCCCTCATTCACAAATCCTTGATTTTAAACCAAATATTGTATTATTTAAAAGGCTATATCATTACCATTTTTGCCCTTTTTTCAGACAAGAACAAATGTAATTCCAAATCTAATATAAACAATTGTGAGTTTTTGGATACAGAGACAATTATAGATCTTATAACGGTTGGTATATAACAGCAGCAATATGTCATTACTTGGTTATTAATGCAATATTTTCTCAAAACCCAGCCGTTGATGCCACAGCTCTTTAATAGGTTACACATGGAAAGCGCTTATGCCAAAGAAATGTGTTTTGTTCTTCTTGGCTGGAGTCCATGCATTGTGAACTTTTAGACCTGCTTAACTGCACCAATCAATATGCTGGCTCTCTATCCCTCATAAATCTCTTTAGCGTCTCTGAATGCTTGGAGGTCACTGTCTCAACTCAACACTGTTGCTGTTATGATGAAAGGATTTGTTTTAATTAAATGATCTTTAAAAATAGATTGCTGTATGTATCGGGGATATGAAATATTAATGCTGCAGAAATCCGGCTTGTGTGTGTGTGTGTGATAATATTGTCTAATGTGCCGGTTTGACTCACTTGTTTCATTGGGCAGATTTTATTTTGACTTCTAACACCAAAAAAAGATGTATCTTTCATTTAAAGAATACAGGGTAATTAATTTTTATCTATTTTGTTGTAATGCATTATGGATTATTTTAATAGCAAATTTATTATTTATATTTGACTGAAAGAAATGGGTGTTTAAATTTTCACTGTTTACTTTACAGAAATGGGGTCTACATGTATTGACATTGTGATACAGTATAAACTCACCTGCCACTTTATTAAGTACACCTGTCCAACTGCTAATTAACGCAGATTTCTAATTAGCCAATCACTTGGCAGCAACTCAATGCATTTAGGCATGTAGAGATGGTCAAGACGATCTGCTGCAGTTCAAACCGAGCATCAAAATAGGGAAGAAAGGTGATTTAAGTGAATGAATGTGGCATAGTTGTTGGTGCCAGACAGGCTGGTCGGAATATTTCAGAAAATGCTGATCTACTGGGACTTAGGGCTGCTTGATTTTGAGAAAAAATCATAATCACGATTATTTTGGTCATAATTGTAATCACGATTATTCAAAACGATTATCAGTTGAAGTCAAAATTATTAGTGCTCCTGAGAATTTTTTTTAAAAATAAATATTTCCCAAATTATGTTAAACAGAGCAAGGAATTTGAACAGTAATAGAAGAAACAGTATTAAAACAGTAGATTTTTTTTTCTTCCGGAGAAAGGCTTATTTGTTTTATTTTAGCTAGAATAGAAGCAGGTTTAAATATTTTGAAACCCATTTTAAGGTCAACATTATTAGTCCCCTTATAAGCAATATATTTTTTGATTGTCTGCAGAAGAAACTACTGTAATACAATGACTTGCCTAATTACTCTAATTATGCCTTTGAATTGCACTTTAATCTGAATGCTTGTATTTTGAAAAACATCTAGTTAAATATTATGTACTGTCATCATAGCAAAGATAAAAGAAATCAGTAATTAGAAACGAGATATCAAAACTATTATGTTCAGAAATAAGTAAAAAAAAAAACTTATTTCCATTAAACAGGAATTGGGCAGGAAAAGGGTTGCTAATATTCAGGAGGGCTAATAATTCTGACTTCAACTGTATACACCCTATATATACACCACCCTGCAAAGGAAAAATAAATAAATACAATAGAATAAAAATTTGAAACAAACTATGCTTTAAG